AGCTCGTCGAAAGCTAAATTAAATGATCCGCAAGTACTGACACGTTCAGGACCTTCATCATGCTCGTTATACCCCCAAATAAGCTCGCTATACTGGCAGATTTGTCCGCTCTAAACTTCTTGCGCTTGGATGGTGACTCTGTCCAACGCCATGGGTTACCCACCACAAAAAAAGTCCCGAAGATCGTCTTCCGGGATGCCGAAACGCCAGGTGAACGTTCGAGGAGGGTATCGTGTGTTCGCTTTTTGCTTTTTGGCGTCTTTTGAGGGAAACCAAAGGCAACCACCCCTTTTGGTCGACCAAGGAGTTCACAGGTTTTTTTCCCACAGCTGAATTCCAAGGGGTCTCAGCCCAGATAAGGCGATCACCTAAGCTTAGTGGGGATGAGCTTATTCCCCCTGCCATAAGCCATTGACGCTTACATGATCACTCGGCCGCCGGCACCACGGAGCCATGAGAAGCCAGTCAGAAGCTTCCGCTTTTGTTGGTTGATGTTGGTGTGCGTTCTTTGAAAGAATTGGACCCCCCCAAAGAAACAGAATACTGCATAAACATGTTTTCTTTTAGAGAGAGAACAACAACAAATGGAAATAACTGTTTAAAGCATGCCAAACGGTTTTTGCTTGGTTTCCCTTTAAACCACAAAACTGGGCTGTTCCACGCCGTTCCCGGATCCCCAGCTAACAGTCTAGCTTTTCGTGGTTTGGTGGAAGCTACCACTAAACAAAGGGGTACCCTTGTTTTACAGCGAAACCTATTCCAACAAACACTGGTTGCAAGTGGAGGGGTTGCAACAAGCACTGGGTGTGTAGGTCCAGGTGAGAACCACCTAACTTAAGAGGTAGGCTAGAACCATGGCTATACGGGCCACACGGCTTCAAGTTTCCCTTGACAAGAGTCCACAAAAATGCCCGCTGCATAAGCATGTGCTTTTACTTGTAAGCAGTATGTACCATGTGTTGATCTAAACAACTCGAAAAGGAACCCCCTTCAGGTTCTGTGCACTCGCTCGTTAGCTCCTGAGTACCCGACCAGTCTTTCATCGATCGGTAAACAGGAGTCACCGGAGTTCCCCTCCAAAAGTTGACTATGGAAACAATCGCTGGTTTCTATAGAGTTCCCCTCCAAAAGTTGTCACTGGAGTTCCCCTTTACTGCTGGTTTCTATGGAAACAATCACCACTTTTGGCGGTCCCAAACGGGGGGCTCTTGAGGGACCGCTGGAGCCCTATTCATCCACAGTTGATTCCACAGTCAACAAAAAATTGAATCTGATTGCACGGATTCATCCGATTCACCTCTGTGTGAAGTGATTGAGTACTCTGCCTACTTTATGAAGGAAGGTCACAAGTGACAATGCAACATGTTCCCCACAAGCGTGCAACTTAAGAACAATCCCTGGGTGTGGTCCCTTCCTCAATCTTAGCCCCCCAAAAAAAGAAACAAATATACCAAAGATTCCAACTCGCGGCCTTTTTCCCGGCTGGGTTTTCTCGAGCGTCAGTGGCCACCCCGGTGTCTGCCTCTTCCTTGATCACAGCACTCACCTCCTTTACCTCGCTGTCCGACCTGCGAAGTTTGTCGGCTCACATGAGTCACCTACCCGGGTTCTGCTTGTGACTCACACAGGTTTCACGTACCTGAGGCTCTGGCTTGGCGTTGGTTAAGCCCAAAAGCAAACAAACTGTGGCTGGACGAAATCATTTTCGCTCCACCTAAGAAACCCTGGAATGATGATTCCGCTGTAAATACCAACAAACAATGATTTCCCAATGGAAAGGGTGCATTTCCATCACAGCCACCAAGCCCCTTCTGATTTCAGTTGCTTTGGCTTTTGTTGCTTCCATGCTTGGCTTGGTTGTTCGCTTGCTAGGTCTTGCTTTTTTTTTCCTGTTGCTCGGCTTGGTGAAATCAGGTCGGGAGGCCTCTCAAAGGTGGCCTTTCGGTTATGCCTTCGCCGTGGCGTCCAAAAGTCTCCCAGGGATCCTTACATTATCCTGAACATTGCCTTGTAAATGGTGGTGTCCCGTTATTTTGGTGTTGAAAAAGCAACATGTTTCAAAGAGTTGGAAAATGGAGATCTTTTGAGGAGCCTTGGCTCCCTTTTGCCATTTGAATATGTCAGAATGCAAAATGGGGACGGGGTAAGCTTCACAACCGCTTAGCAAAACACCCAAATGCCTGGCATGGCAATGCTTCTTCGTGCTTTCAATGACAGAGCTTCAAAAAAGGGTCCCAATCCCACCCAGTGGATCTGGGTAACCCTTTCCCTTCTAGGGCAAGGGAACCACCGCTGGCTCGAAATGGCCGCTGGCTTGAACATGCTAGGGAAAGGGTTTGGCCGCTTTTTTGATTGAAAGCCAGCTAGACCAAACCCTTTCCCTTCCCGATTCACGCTGGCTTGAAACATGGCCTGAAGGGCTCGACCAGGCGAAACATGAAAGCGTGAGCGCGCCGAAACTTTCTTTCAAGCCCATCTCAAACATGGCAATACCAAATCCCTGAACCATACCTCGGCGGCAAACCCAAAAGAACAAGTAATAACAGTAAAACAGGGCCATTGTCCAGCCGGCATGGCGATCCAAAAGAAAATGACGAATGCTTGGTGTAAAATGTGGTAACTCATCCTAAACTCATACTGTCAGCGCATTTAATTATTTCATGGCCTGCGCACAGCGCCCGTACGAAGGACAATACCGCTCATGCCTTTGCTTCCTTGGGGATAAAACCATCGGCAAAGCGAAGCAAGCAACAAAAGCTTGGTCACAAATCATCTGCCACAAAAGCCCGAGATTCTGAAGGCAAACCCATTTAAGTTCCATTTAATAATACACCATCCATCAGGGCTGTGGGAAATGACCACTTCGGTGATGCAACAAAAGACTGACCCCCACATATCGGAGGGGGGGATTCCCTGGTATCACAGAAGTGGTTGGACAACTCTGCCATCCTTCCATTTTGTTCAGGCCCCAGGAGAAAAAAAACTGATATTTCCAGTAGTGCTGAACTCCTTTTAAGACCAACCAGGGAAAATAAACAAATAAGCTCAGGTGATATCCCCAACGGCATGCGGTGCTCTTTTTAGTGCACCACCCCGCCCTCGCAGAACCTCGTGGAACCCTGGTGGAACCCAGGTGGAACCCTTGTACCTTACCTCAAGGCCGGACAATCCTGGAGCCTGGGCTCAGACCCTAAAGCTTTCAGCTGCTGGGGAATATTCTTAAATGATGATTTCCTATTGAGACCAACAAGGATTTTGATTTTTTAACAAACATGTTCAAATGCAAATGAAGGCATCCCAAGGCGCCTGACGCGGTACACCTTCCGCTTCTTGTCCTCTCGCTGCTCTAAGGCTGGCAGCATCTGCGCGCGTCGCGCCACCCGGCCGACTCGGCCGAAGCGGGGCGAAGCGACGAGGAAGGCGAGCTGCGCCAACGGCAGAGCCAGCAGCAGCCACACACGGCCCGTCATGGCGACCGCTTAAGAAAACAAAATTCCAGGAAGCTTCCGCTGGGCACCACCTAAGAAACCCTGGAATGTTGATTCCCCTGTAAATACTGACGCACAATGGCTTGTCATGGTTTCCAAGTGGTGCGAATTGGATTTCGTCCATCCACAGTAGGAGGTTTCAATATATGAACATGGAGCAAGTGCAAACGCTTGGCATGTTGGCGATGGCAATCGTCACTTTGGGGACATTCGTAATGTTGGTATTGGAGATGTGTGATCTGAGTGTCTGCGCAGAGTCGGTGTGTCGTACGTCAGCTACCCAAAGATTCGGAAGTCGAGGCCGTATGATCTTCAGTTGTCATCCTGAATCCTGAGCCAATAGCAGTCTCAGCGTACAGCATTCTGTTCTGGTATAATCGTCACAAGAAGCACCTGTCTGGGTGAATGACAAAACAACTCCAATCAAAGAAAGGTTCCTCAAACCTTCATCATGGAAGGTTGCAAAGCACAACCATTGTGTGTGTGCGTCAGGTCGCAAACCCAAACAACGGGGTCGACTAAAAGGAGATTCCTCCAAACATACGTGGTTGGGGGTTCCAGACTAATCTGCAGAGGAAGTGAGGCGACAAAGAGAGCTGATAGCTCTCTTTGAGCCACTGGTGATACAGAATGCTCATTGGTTCCTCTTCAACCAGTGGTATTGCAAGAGTGGGGCAATCCTAAAACTAGCCGCTGTGTTTAATCTCGTTAATTAGGCAGTCAATTGTGTGGAACACAAGACCATGGGGAATAACTACCCTAAGTATTACAATGGTTGATTCCTTTTCAACCGGGGGGATCACTGTATCCATAAAATGGGCATGCCCAACATTACGCTCTGAGTGCTTTAAAGGCAAAACATGCCTGAAAAGTAATGCCATGAGACCCCAAATGAAACCACTAGGGCACCAATCCCGAAGCATACCATTGATAGACAAAATCCTGCACCACCTAAGAACCCCTGGAATCATGATTCCCCTGTAAACACCAACCAACAATGGTTTCAACCATGGTTTCAAGGTGGGTGCGAACGGATTTCGCAACCATCCATTGTATGTCTCTCCAAAAGGAGCACCCAAAATGGGTTGCATCCCTTTGGCTTTTCTTCGAAAGAACGCAACAAACTCTACCCTCAAGGAATCCACTTGAAGAGGCCCAAACCCAAAGCATGTGTCAGCAAAAGTCTCTGCAAATCGTCCCTTACCCCTAGAGGTTTCCTGTGGTACTGTGGATGGACGAAATCCTACACCGCCTAAGCAACCCTGGAATGATTCGATTCCCCAATCAAAATACCACCCAACGTTCTGGTTTTGACCACAACTTCAAAGTTGTGCGAACGGATTTCGTCCATCCGCAGTATCACAGAACGTGGCCATCTAAAACAAGCCACAAATCCATGAGTTTGTCACTTTGAGGGGGGCTCCTCTTCTGTTGCAAATCAAATCGGTAAGGCGTCGCTTGCTAGCACAGAAAGTGGGCCACCTCAAAAACCCAGCCAAAACCCGCTCGCACCTCCCAAGCATCTGTCTTCCGCTCCTGCATGAAGGCCTACATGGAAACTGAGTCCCGGTCACTGGACTTAACCCGGCTCGAAAGGGAAACAAGCCTCGTGAGTGGCAAAGCCAAAGGAAAACCGGTTTCTGGGCTGTCCATTGTTTGCTGCCCTGTGAAAAGTTCGTGGGTTAAATGGAGACCCAGGCACAAAACCAACTAAAAAGACAACTAAAACCAACTAAAAAGACAACTAAAACCAACTAAAAAGACAACTAAAACCAACTAAAAAGACAACTAACAACCAAGGAACTGGATGGCTGGTTCCGAACCGCCAAGGGCTTTTCCGGGTCATTCGCAGGGACAGGAGTTGCTGTATCTCAGTTCTGAAGCTGAGACCCCAACTCCGCAGCTGAACCGAAAAGGGTAATCTTTGCTCAAATCAAAACGGAGCTGTCCTCAGATCCCCCGCTAAAAGCTTGACTTTTTTGTGGGCTAAATGGAAAACCCCACTAAACACCAAAATGCTTAAGAACCGGATGGCTGGGAGCCATCAACAAACAAACCCTGGTCTCGTTGGTTTGGGATTTGAAGCCGAAACCCAAATCTGAGCCTCCCAATCAAATAAACATCAGCTGATCTTACGTTGGCTTTGAGCCAAAAGAAGGCACGCTTAAAAGCGCCCGGTCCATCAAGCAATGAATCTTGTGCTCAGCGACAGCGACGGGATCTTGGGCCAATCCAAGGCTTTTGTGCAGGTTCCGCTGGGCATACTCATGCGGCCTATGTTTTTTCAAACCCGTAGCTCAACGGAGTGGCGTTGCGCTGAATTCAAAAACTGTCTGAATCTGGGTGCCAATAATCTGAATTCAGAAGAGGAATTGGTTTACCCCCCCCCCACTCGTACATTTGCCAAAGGGGTGGGCCTGTTGGTTTGCAGTGCAAGGTTCAAGCCTGACAAGGGCTGCCTGGATTTCCAACCAAATCAAAGTTGATCAATTTACAGGTGGTTTCCATTGAACTCGCCACTTTTGGAGGTTCCCTTAGGGGAAATAGCTCAGAAACCTTGCCAGAAGTCTAAACACCCTTCCCCGCGTGCAAAAAAGCAGCCGCGATTCTCTGATGGGACACCCAAAAGGTCTCAGGGGTCCTCCAGAAAAAGGTTTTTGGGATCAAACCCCTGGCTGGCGTGTCTTGTGGCTTTTGGCTTCCTCCCTAAGTTGGCAGCACGGGTTCGATCGAGTTCCGCTTTGGGCAAAGCCACAAGGTGGTGCTGCAGACCAGGGGATTTGGGTCTGACTTTTTGGGAGGGTACCCCGTGAGGGAAAACAAGACAAGCACCACCAATTTGGGGGGAGGGGGATTCCCTAAACAACACAATGGTTTTCCCCCGAACCTAAACAGGCCAAACAGCTTAACATGCCGAGAGCGACCCCAACATGCGCCCAATATGGGGATTATGAATTTTTCCGGGGGGAACCCCCAAAAACCCCCTCCGTCCAACCCTTGCGCCTTCGGTTAGTCTCATGAAAAACCTGCGGCTCGAACAAAAGCACTTGCCGCGCGCCTGGTACTTCTTCAGTGCAGCAGCGATCAGATTGTTGCACTTCTGATTCTCCTAGGGGTTCACCGGCTTACTCGGGCCTTAGATACCAATGGACATGCCACACCTATAGTCCTGATATAGGGATGGGTTTTGGAGTATGAACCCTGTATAACCCATGTATAGCCTCTAATTTTGGGGTATGTCCATTTGGGGTATAGAAGTTGGCCCTTAGAGTTACCGGATTTACTTTCAAGGGGCCTGCAACCCAACGAGTCAACGGAGACTCCTCAAACTGCCAGGGCAACACGCCCCATGGAGTCAGCTTGCCGCGAGAGATGTGGGGAACGAGACATGGAATGGAATGACCCCCGAAAAACCATCCAACTGGTGGGTTCCTTTAATGGAACGCTTGGGTTCATTCAACCACAGAACCCCTATATACCTATCGCACCAGCAAGTGGCGCCCTTGGCATTGCACAGTCCCATTGCTGGCAACCTTCAAAGAGCACATCGGATCGCCAAGTGTCGCTTTCGACTGCTTTCGGGTACATAAACCATGTGGGGGGATTCCTCAAAAAGGAATAAGGCCACCTGGTACAATCCCATATGTTCAACCAACTCTGTGTTGTTGGCAATTCTCATCTGGGCCATTTATAAAATCCGTTTATGGCTAATGGCTCTATCAGCTGTATAGTGGCTGTAATAACCCGTACTACGCAACTAACCATCGTCAATGGTGTCCAAGAATTCTTGCCCATCATCGACCATGATAAACCGTCTGAGCCGTCATTATCAACCATGATCAATGATCATGTATCAACCAGTTTGATGTTTGGAGCGTTGCTCACATGTTGCATCACCGAGGCTACGCAAATTCACGGATGCTCGTCTGTGGCGGCTCAAATCTAATTCCACCACCACGACTTGTGAGTCGATTTGTAAACGGAGCTATCAAGCTGCCCCACATTGCACTGAAGCAAGATCCCAAACAGGCTGCCCGATCCCTTCAAGCGGGTAGTGGTGTTGATGCTTTGCGACTATGTGTGTTGTGTACATTCACTATTCTATTCATTGCGGCGTGTGTGTTTACCAACTCCCTTGTTCTCAGATCAGCTGCTCAAGGTTTTAACTTCTAGTGGGCTAGAGGCAAAACCCGACCACTAAACCCTAAATCCTAAGAACCTAAAGCGGATCCGACATCTAAGGTGAAGCTTCCAAGAACCCAGAATCCACTCACGCGCGCCTGGGTCTTGCGGACGGCAGCATGGAACTCCTGTGCATGGAGGCTCACGGAACACCACAAAGTACAAAATGGGTTGCGCTGTCCTGGGCTGTGCTGAGATCCCCTAAAAGATTTACAAGGGGGGGTAGTTGAGCTTTCGTTGGGGTTCCTAGGGTTCCCTATCTGGGCTTTCCTCAGATCTGCTAAAGGTGGAACTTTTCGCGGGCGAAATGGCACTCCGACCCAAAAACCACCTAAAAACCATTCTGGAACCGGACGATCTGGCTTTCCTCAGATCCGCTGCTAAAGGTGTAACTTTTCGCAGGCGAAATGGCACCCCGACCGATTCGCTGGTTCCGAGCCGCCGAGCTTCGTTTTGGATTCCCCATAGAGCCAAGGGGCCTTTTTTTGACCCCAGTACATCGGTAGACACGAAGGACTCTTTTGGCTACTGGGGCCCCAAGTTTCAAACACAAAAAACTAAGGAGTAGAAACCAGGCCCCAATCTTCCCATGGGAAGTCTGTTTACAGGAATGCTTTTGGATCACAGCAAGTGTGCAACAAGTGCCGACTTATATTGTTCATGATTGTTTCACACAGGGGCCTTTTTGTATTTGAGCTGCTTGCTAGGGTACACGTACCGGAGCAGACATGCTCATGTGGGAGAGGGGGGTGCCAACTGAGCACTGCAGCTTAAAGCTGCCGGACCGGTGCGATCTGCCTCCATGATTCGCGAAGCGTCCGGACGGGCGAGGCGTGTGAGAGAGAGAGAATGCTTTTGGATGCTGCAGTCTAATAACTCCTACGTAGCGGAACAAAGGGTACCGGTACCTGAACACATTATGTTCAACTTCCAGAGTCATCTGCTTTACTGAAAGCCTGAACAAGCCAAGGGAATGGTTGGATTGTTTTACCATGTCGCCAAAGCGACAACTACAGCCCAATCAACTCTGGCACAAATGACCCTTTTCGGTTCACGAAGACGTTTGTTTGGCATAGTTTTGAAAGCTGCCGTCTTGGCCTATTGTGTGCCCCAAATTCGCACTCGATTGGCTTCCTTCTGAAAACATCCAGCCCTTGCTGGTGTGGTTCAAAGTAAATTCAAATGGACATCGCACATTTGCGCCCCATGTCAAATGTGCGCGTGGAAATGAAGTACGGCAATTGCTAATGATGCTTATTTTTGAAGTCACAGCCCACGCTTTGGCGGCGCCACGGGCGCCTTGAGCGATGGCCTAAACCCTGACAAACTTGTAAGGGTGATGAAATTCCTTTGCAAGGGTCGATGACCATGCTGACAGTTGTTTGTTTGCGGGTCATGATGGTCATGAGGAATCAATTAAACCAAACAATGCACTTGAGCCCTCACCAATCCATGAACACCAATGATACCTTTCACACTAGCAACATCTTCGACTACCCTCCAATCGGCCGGCTTTGACCCAACTATCCCCAAAGAATATCCACCTGAAGTGCCCAACGGAGCTGGAGCGAAGCAGGCCAAATCTAAAAGCCAACAGGATCCGGGTGAGTGACTGAGCAACACTACCCTGACGCTCATACACTGGGCATCTCTGACATATGGGTGTGGCTCAAAATTAGCCAGGAGGGGCAAACCGCAGGTTTTGGTACCCATGTTTCCACTTACCAGGGCAACCCATTTTGGAATTCCGGTTTTTTGAGCCACAGCCACATGTTCCATGAGTCCAAACTTGTCCCCGAATGCTTTCCGCACGAACTCGCCAGCAAGTTCTATCACCCGAGCTCTCGGGTGTCCGATTTTCGATTGGCTGCTTT